ATGATTCAGCAAACACTCATAACATACTTGGCTAACCGAATTGCTTCAAATCTTTGCAATATAAATGATGATCTAACAAATGTCTCTTCGTGTAAAGTTTTTCTTCTTATTATATATTTACCTGATAGAACACTTGGGGAAGAGAAGAGCACCTGACCCTTTAAACATTTTGTATGGTAACTGCCAGGTTATTTCTGAAAGGATGTGTCCATGGATAGGAATGCCACTTCCATAGCCTTTGTTGGCATTAGTGATCCCCCATCCATTTTTTTAAATTGTTGAGTTCCAATATACTATAATATTGACTAATTTGTGCTTTTAAAAAACTTATTAAGAATTGCTTTCTTAAAAGAGTTTAAATCCTAGCTGAAGAATCTCATTTGTATTGTACATTTATCAATATGTATGCACATGTCTATTTATGGTTATTTATGTGTTGTGGATATATATTTCTAATTGGTGACTTTTTCTTGGCTATAAATTTTTGGACACGGATTTAGAAAAAAAAATTATCTCTTTTTATATATTTTATAGATAGATATCTACTTTTATACAGATGTAGATTATACACACAGGCATTGAGGTAAATATAGCTATGGTCATAAATATAGACATATTGAATATACCAGAAAAGGTACTGCTTCCTAAAAACACACAAGTAGAAAAATGGCATCTGCACTATATTGGTTACAACCAATTGCATAATATTTCTACATAGTATATTGCTGTCGTTTATAGAACTCAGAAGTTAAGACATCTGGATTAAAACCTCATAATAAAACCCAGCAGTGATCTTTCAAAGCCTCTTCTCATGCATGCTCTCTGGATACATATTGATCTCTAGTGTCATGTCAGAGTTGGAAGAAACTGAGGGTGAGCTATCCTGCAAGGCTTCACTTCCAGGAATCATCAGTGCATTGCAGATTTCCTGGGATATGCTTTACCTGACTTTCACTATGAGTCTCATCAAAGGAGCCATGCGTTTTGAAATACCAGGGTGCATTGTACAATTTTGTAGGGAAAACTCCTGTGCCAACCATGTTTTCCCTAATCTTGTGAAAACTCCAAAGATTTAAATCCAGATTAAGAGTTCCTCATTATTTTAAACTTTTTTTCTACAGATTAAATCAAGAAAATATACAGTCTCCATGTGTAATCCATTCTTCATTAAGTATTTAACATATTTAATGTGTGGGGTTTTTGTATTTATTGTATTGCAAATATAGGTGCTTTTTCAGATTTTTAACAGGACTGTAGATATTAAACTATTGGATTGTCCCCAGAACAACCATAATGTATTTATTTAATATTTTTCATGGTAATTGATCCATTTCTCTTGATCTTTAAACTTTGAAGTGCATGGTCAGCCTGATGGGCACCACTCCATCTCAAAATCGCGTCTTATAGGCAGGTTATTGATCCCACTGAAATGAAGAACTGCACCAGAGCCAAGGTCTAAGTGGCTCTCAAACTTGTCAGGACTTTGAAAATATTTTTCACAAGGAAATAAAAAAGCTACAAAGAATATCAGGGAGCTGTGTGATAGAGTGCACATATCTAATAACCCCATGGCTCTTTGGTTAAAATTTGAAAATGTTTAATACCTAAGTTTACAAAAGTCTTAATCTAAATAGAATGTTACACCCTAGGAAACAAAGCCACTGGAAAGTGAAGAGGAAGGCAGATCATTTATACAGCCCCCCCTATTTCTCAGTTTGAGTATCAAAACTTTTTTTGTTTTGTTTTAACTTGTTCTTCAGACTTAAACTCTCACAGAGATGATAACTGAAATTTAATATACTGTAGTTTTTCAATTAGCTAATTTACTACTTCTCCTGACCTAATTTTTGATCTTCTGGAATTACATATTAAATAATGCCAAAACATTAAACATATAACCATGCCTAATTTTTTTTAAAAAATTCTACCTAATCTAAACTCAAAGAAATGTCTTTACATATCTTATAAATAGTACTTTTTTCCTCAGATATTTCACTGTTTCACTTCATGCAAATTAAAAAAAAAACATATAGTATTAAATGGAAAGCCTCCACAAAGAAAGTGAGGCATCGCAGGGATTAATCAAAAATGACTGTTTCAGATCATTTAAAATTAATCCATATTTGCCTATATCTCGTTGCCAAAATATATGCAAAAAGTGTAGAGAACATTATTTAAATAAAACTTAGAAAATATACATGAACACTTTTTCTCCTGACTCCTTTTGTCAGAATTTGAAGAAAGTCTCCATCATTATTATATTTTCCTTCACATCATGGGCTAACTCTTCAACTGTCATTCCGCCTCACAATCTTTCTCCCAAACGTCTGGAGAAGAATAAACTCAATGTATAAGCAGAAATCATTTTAAAGGAAAAAAAAATGCTGTTGAAAGGAATTCAGTTGCAATTTTCAGAGCACGGGCTTTTACTATTGTTTTCTTGGTGGCATAGTGCGGAGACAGACACAATAGTCAGAAATCTTCTAAAATCTGTGGTTTGGTGTTAACTCAAACTTATGGAATTACCAATACAGGATGAAGTCCTACTTCCCTTATTATCCTAGTTCATAGTTATTTTAGATGTGAAACATACTTTTTTCTCTGTTTGACTCTTTGCATATTTTAAAATAATTTAATGTATGAGAGTCAATAAGTAAATTTCTTACTGATTTCACTTGAATAGTGTCTTGTAAAGGGGACAAAAAAGTGTTGAAATTGAAAGAGGAAAAGAGAAATAATCTCAAGACTTATTTTTATAAGTGTCTACTTTGTGAAAATGTCTGGGACATAATTAAGAATTAATTAACATTGGTTTGAAATCTAATACAGAATTGATGTTACTATATTTCCTCAAAATGTCTAAAAATAGGATTCCTATCCTCAAAGACCTTTGTTTTAGGTGATGTTGGGGTAAGAGGGAAGATGCTGAGCTAGAGAGGCAGGAGGGGTGGAAGGAACTTATTTGCAGCACTGTTGGACACACCTGAGGTCTGAAAAGAAACGGAAGGAGCAGATGAGACCCACTGGGTCCTGAAGAATTAACAAGAACGCTGACATTTCTATTGGTTGTTGAAAGGAAAAGCATATTCAAGCCACATAGAATAAATAATTGATTCTAAAACTTTCTCAAGTTAACATTTTCAATAGACATTTTCCAGTTTAAATCATGTATCATCAAATTATCACACCTTTCCATGTAATATATAAGCATGTATAGCTTACAAACAAAACAGAGGGAAATTGGATAAAGATTAATGATGAAATCTCTAATTTACTTTCTAACTATCTTAGTTCAGATCATTGCAATTCTTGGGTGAAACTGAATTTTGTGTTCTGTTGTTTAGTGTTATTTCACATGCTAGTCTTGGGCCCTAGGCAGTACTGCTGCTCACTAGGGGCTGAACCCACACAGGGTCCTGATCTGCTGCTACCTTTGCTGCTTATGGAAATAGGATAAGAACTCTAACTAAGCTGGGTACACAATTTTCAGTCCATGTCAAACCATCAATTATCATGGTTAGCATTGATAACATTGTCATCTTCTTCTTCATTTTCATAATCACCCATGTCTATCCTCATGATAATCCATTCAGGAGGAAAATGTTATGTTAATATTAAGAAACTGAGCCAGAAAAAAAAATATATATATATATACACACACACACATATACATACACACATACATATACACACATTATTCTAAAACAAAGACAACTTAGTCTTTCAGTTATAAAAGAATAAAAAAGTACATTTTTAAAACTTTTTTAAAATAAAAAATTGACACAAAAATGTCACTCAAAATATGGTTCTTTTCATTGGGACTCATCTTCAAATACATACAAAAATTGCAAAACATTTTTCATTTCATAAGTAAATAGCTCACACTGAGATTGCTACATTGTCATTCCTATTCTTTACATCGCTAACTTGAGCAAAGACCATGAACAGTTTCTGTGGGTGTATTTCATGCCACTTCACTTCTAAGATTTGAAGTCAGCAAAGGATGTGGAACATGTTTTGCTTGTTTTTTAAGTGACCATCATGCCTTCTTTTTGACATCACTGCAAATGAATATTAAATTCATTTAATATTCATTTGGGATAAAGTCTTTCCTAAAGGATATTTGAGGGAGTTTTGGTTGGTAAGAAAGAACATTGAACTTGATGTCAGAAGATATATTTCAAATCCCCAAATCTGGCCCTTACAATCTGTAGGACCTTAAATAAATAACTTATTTTCTTTAAAGTTCTTTTTCCTAGATTAAAATAGAAATGACAAAACCAACATTTTATTTTGCTTGCAAGAATAAATATAGAATTTTTTTGTTATTATAAAAAAACTAATTAGTTCTACATGACAGTAGAATGCACTTTGACACATCATATACAAATGGAGTATAACTTTTCATTCTTCTGGTTGTACATGATGTAGAATCACACCAGTTATTTAATTGACATAGAAATTTTACCAACTGATTTCTCATCTACAATCCAAGATAATGTTATTAATTAAAATATAGTGTTGTAGTTTAATTTGATGAAAAAAAAAACGGCCTCTTTGTCATTTTAAAAGGAGTATAAATTTCTTACCAAATGTCATCTTTATTCTGCTGAGATCTGGAAATAACTAATTCAGAATGATGATGTGAAATGTCCATGTCAGAAGCCACCGCCTCCTAAAAGCCCTGTATGTGTGTGTGTGTGTGTGTGTGTGTGAAAGCGCTTGTGTGTGTTCTTCAATGACTTTCATTATCTAAATATTATCTTGATTTGCCATGAATGGCATTTAAAAATAAACCCCCGCCTTCCATTTCTCTTGGCCTCTCTGTCTCTGGCTTCAGAACTGCAGTGCACCCGGACCTGGAGCTGGCCCTTGTTCTCAGAATTCCCTGGCAGTGAGCGCGTCCCTCGTCCTCCCTGCCATCTGGGGTGTCTCACCTTCCACCTTGCAGGCGCTCTGTAATTATCATGTCTGTGGACTTCTTTTCTTTTCTCCATCAGCGTTGACAAGAAGATGGACCCTCAGCTACAGAGGACGTGTCATTGTTCGTGAAGCACTTGCCCAACAGGAACTTCAATGTTAATTGTGAAAAAGCGGCATGGGGTAAGGATCTTTGATGAACTAAAATTACTGTTGTACCATGATGTGAAGGGCCTTTAATTTTGCCATCTGGGTCTAATTGACAGAGAATGACTAGGAACTGCAGCTTCGCGAATTGGTGAACTTTGCATATGGACAATTAACTAAAAAAGAACAAGCCAGTTTGGAAAATTGTGGGTATTTCTGCAAATGAAATGTCTGCCTGCCTTTGGATTATGCAGTCATTTTTCCATCAAGAAGACTCATCAATTGGCCTGAACAGTAGTTCAGACTGTAGTCAAGACAAAAACCCGCATTTGGACCTAACTGAATTTCAGCATCCTCTGGAAACCACAGCCATCATCCTGGGATCTCTGGGTTTTCCCTGACACTTTCCCCCTGTATCTCCCATGACAACAAAGTATCACATTCCCATATCTCTGAGAAGAATGTGAATATCTCATCCATGAAATTTAGAAGCTACTCATCTCTAATAGCAAAACAAAAACTCATCACTGGACTAGGGATGGGGCTCTGTGGTAGAGTGCTTGCCTAACTTGAACTAAAGCCAGGGATTCAATCCCCAGCACTACGAAACAAAAACAGAAACAAACACACATAAAGACCTTATAATAACTATTTATAAGTATTTTATTTTTTTTAGAGAGAGCGCGCTACTGCTTGAGCCACATCCCCAGCCCCAAAGTATTTGTATTTTTAAGGTAAAAGGAATTGATTCACAATCTAGTCACAAATCAGTTCTTATTTTCACACACTAAAGAGAGCTCTATTGAGTAAAATGAGATAAAAAATCAATTTGTTAAGATCAATAAGTAAAAAAGTTATTTGCACTGTTATTTTCAAACAGCATTTTATTTACCACTTTTAACCTTTTAACTCATATTTTCTCCTTTCCAATCATGTGGTTTGAATAAATACACTGCCCAGATCTCCGGCACCTGAATTGTGTGTTATGGCTCTTCTGAAAAAAAAAAATATTATTGATGCAGATTTGTTTTATTTCAAAGCCAATGAAAATAAACACTCATTTTTTTTATAGACTTAGATAAAAGTGAATTTTTAAAAATGAACGAATTTGGTGTCAACATATCTTATGTACAGAGATATGATAAATTGTGATATAAAAGTGTATTAAGAATTGTAATGCAAATAATAATAATAATGATAATAATAATAGAGCTCATGTAAAAAAATAAATAAAAATAAATAAAAATAAAAATGAACTTGAATGAACTTGAAGATTCAACCATAAGATTTATATATATATATATATATATATATATATATATATATATATATATATTATTCCTTACAGTCTTCAGGACTTGACACAGGGAAGTTATGTGTGGGAAAACTACTGCACAGCATAGATTAATTTTGCATTTGAAATTACAAGCATTCGCTAGTGTGATTTTGGGTCCAATAGACACCTTGCAAATTACCTGGCTCAATCCCTGCAATGGGGAAGGAGCTGGGCGCAGCGGTTGGGCAGCTTCCCAGTCTGGTATCTCAGGGGTGGAGAGGCTGATCTCATCATGCAGAGGAGCACGAGGCCTACAAGGATTGGAAAGGCTCCACAAGAGCATGGCTCACAGCTCCATGACCAAAATCAGGGCATTTTATGGATAAATATAATTGTGGAGCAACCTTATAAAAGGTTGGAACCTCTATATAATATGTAAAGAACATTGGAAGAATTAGCTGATTTTGAATACTGCAACGTTTAAGGAGTGAAAAATAAAGAACCAATTCCTAGGAGGAAATATGTGTATGTTTTCTACTTAAGCTTTACTTGGAAAGGAGGAAAGCAGCAGATAAGATAATAGTTTTCCCTAATTCCTTAGGCGGCCTCACAGCATATGAATGAAAAAGTTTGCATTTGGCAAGTATGCTGATAGCTAAATTTTCACCCCTTATCCACCTCGTTTGGCATCTTACAGGCAGTGCCTACGTATGTTAGCAAAATACACGTTGCTGTGATCTGTTTCATAGGCTCTGTGTTTTCACTCAGCTCTTAGGCTAAGCTGGCAATGACTTCAAAAGGAAAAGAACCGTCCAGGGGAAGCGCAGGGCTCGCGACATGCTGCTCCCTATGTCTGGCCATAGTGCTTGACTTGTGTCAGAATTCTTCCAAAAATTATTAAAGGTCATTTTAATATTTACCGGTTGCCTAAGAATCATGCCAAGACTTAGTTCCTTTTGGCCAATTCAGCACATCCACCCTTTCCCAGCCTCACCCAGCATCTCACTGGGGGTACGGGGAGGGGGTGCTGGGAGAGCACTGCACTGTTCTTTCTGGGGGATCCAAGGATTTAATGAAGGTAATGTCTGTGCTGGGAGAGAGATGCTGAGCTGCTCAGGGTCTATGCTTCCAACCCTTTGAAATGCCTTCAGAGCGAGGCAGTCCGTGCAGCACCCGTAATGAGAGCTCTTCCAATCTTATTTTTGCTATGTTAAAAAAAAAAAAAAAAACCCACAACAACAACAGCATATTTCTTGGGAGTCAAAAGCTGCTCTCCTCCCCACACGTCTTCCGCACACTACCATTAACCAGTAATGAGATATTCCATACACTGATATCAGCCTTCTATTTCTCTTCATGCCTGCCAAAACATCCTCTTTTAATAACACCCTAAAACAGGCCTTTCCTGTGCTTTCTCTCTTATAAATGTATTCCTGTTCCTGGGCTTTATTAACATCACCAGTGCTGTCTCCTAGGTAAAAGATTAATTACTTGGCTGTGATTCACAGGAATGGAGGAGCCACTAAATTACTGAGGGAATATATCCTAAAATCAGTTATTGTTATGTCACCACTAATATTCTTTACAAGAGGAAATAAAGAAACCATCTCCAATACAGTAATGTGCCCGTACATCAAGGCAGAACACCTCTAATCATTTTTAGAAGTGGGCAGGTAAGAACATCAGTAGGCCAGTAACCAACGCCTACATAATGTTGATAAATGGGTCCCAACTTTATCCTCATGCCTCCATGTTAGTGAGTTGCTCTTTGTTGCTCATTAATTAAATTTTAGTTAGCTTTCTTTCTGTGAACCCTCAATAATGGGTGGGTGCTAGGGGAGAATCAAAACCTCACTTCTAATTAAAGTCATAATTGTGATTTGTAGTTTTCGACATTTGTTTCTTTGTTCCGAAATGCTATTCCTGAAATGATGTTTGACTTCTTACCTTCTTTTGAGAAATTTAAAACTCAAACACCATTATACATCAAAGATTTGTCAAAAAATTAAAGAGAAATAGGCTCATCATATGGCACAAAACACTGTCATTGTGTCTATATCACTACCAGAAAAGGATTTAGAATTTGCTAACTTGCTTGCAATTATTAAAAATTTACATAGCCACAGGGAATAATACAACTATTGTAGGGTAAAGAGGGAGTTTTGTTATGTTCACCACCAGATCTCCAAGACCAAAGTAGACTACAACCAAAGCAGATGCTCAGTAAATATAACTTTGAAGAATTAAACACCTAATGCAGAATTGTAAGAATTTCAAGTATCATACAAAGAACAATCTTCCTTTTGGAGGAACCATGTCATTAGTTCTCTTAGACAGAACTCACTTTAAATGCTTTGAGAGAAGACAAAAAGGTAGATGGGCAAACCCTCAGTGTGCAGGCTGGGGCATAGTACATCAGAGTAATAAACCAATTTATAAATATGAAATTGATAATTATTTTTGTCAAAAATAATTTCAAAGCACAAGGAAGCTAATATCATAAATAACTTTTTTTTTTCTCTTACTACCCATAGATAAACTCCTGAGCCAAATTTTTATTTGGAACCTACAGTAACTAGAGAACTTATGAAAATGACTTGAAACTGTATTTTATTTCTATTTAATTTTCTTTTAGCAATATGTTTAAATAATTTGTAGAATTTATATTATGCTTATTAGTTCTAAGCAAATTTTCAAATACTTTAGACTGAGTCAAGTGTTTAATTATTACATTTATGTAAGTAGTGTCCAGCCAACCGAGAGTGGGAATACAAACAAAACAGCTCTCTAGTACCTGGGTAAGGGGGAGTTAAGCCTTGTAAATATAGTTTTAAACAGAAACACACATGCACACACATTTGTATAAGAGACCTCATTAGCCACCAGAGACAGAGAGCATACCGGGAAAATAAAAAGTCAGAAACAAACTGCTCAGCCATGTTTGGCAAATATGAGAATATAAATTAGATCATTAAGAGTTATTGTTTTTCCCCACTAGATTATCAAACATTAAATGTGACAATTACAAACGTTGGCAATGAAGTGGGTCAATAGGTTTTTTACATGCTGGTGGGATATGAAATAACAGAGTGTGTATTAGAGCACATCGCACTTTTCATACCCCTTCTTCTCCTGTGCTACTCAGCTTACGTATTTAAGTGCACTTTAACTTACTCTGCTCTTTTCTTTCATCATTTCTCTCTTCCATGACAGATTTACACACACACACACTCACACACACACATATTTCAATAAAGTGATTGGTAGGAATTCTTAATCTATGGAATCTTTCATAATGAATGGGGTTTGTCACTGGCAAGGTTTCAGGTATCCCAAGAACCGTAAGGAATTACCTTTTTTGCTACCACCATTCAGTATCCATTAGGCTATGCAGGGAAAGGGAACTCAGGAAACTAGTTTTTGGAAAATATAATAATTTTTTAGACCAAGGTAGTAATTTACAAGTTTACCAAAACAGCAGAATAATATGAAATTCTTTAGTTAAGCAATGTTCCATATCCAATTTATTATATATAATTCATTCTGTCAATCTAGCATAAAAAAGGGCTTTATTTAAAAGTAACTAACAAATAAATTGATATCATGGGAGATGATCTCTGGAGTCAACTCATTCTAACCCACCTTTCCATGCGGCATTTGTAAGTTTTTTCACAGTTTTGAAAATTCGGGAATTAATTTCTCTTAAGAGTTATATATTTCAATGAAACATAAATAAAAATAAATTGTTAGCATGGACATCATACTTTCCTGCAATCTCCTGATGGGATTGGGGTTGCTGGGTTAAACACAATGGTCGATATAGCTCTTATCTCATAATACTCACAGAATGTATTACGTAAACAGAAATAAAAAGAAACCTATGAATGTAGCATGTTCATAATTATAATAATGTTAATTTGATACAATTAATATTCATGATTAGTTTTGTGATCTGAACTAGTACCTCCATCCCCATGAAATTTATACTTCAAGCTACATAAAAAATTAGCTATGTAAAATATTAAGGAAAGGGACACCATAATTTTCAAACATTGCTAGTGGTGAGCAAAGCAAAACCACTTTTGTAGACAATATTGCAAAATAAAAGCATCTAAATAGGTTATAACCCATTTGACAATAATTTTAATTATTTTGAATGAAGAATGTTTAAGGTTGAACATGTGGATTTTGTTTTTACACCTAAAGTGCAGTGATTTATTCAGTTGTCTTACAGGGTTTGGATGTGGGCATGCTCTTCCCCCAATGTCATCTGTGTCCTCTCTCTGGGATAAAAGCTGTATTCTCCAGATTGTATTGAAATATTGACACAGCAGTCAGGAAGGTGAACCTACAGACATGCATAGCACGAATGACAGGATTCTTGGAGCAGGCATCAGCAGACTACCCTCACAACTACAACCTGACCAGCCGCCTGTTTTTAATCAGTTCCTCAAACACTGCTGTGCTCATTTCTCTAGCCCTGTTCTAATACAGCTGCTTTCATGTTATAATGGAGTTGAGGGTTTGTGAAAGAAACAGAAAATATTTAACTGGCCCTTCCCAGAAACAATTTTCTAACCGCTGTTGAGCATGGCCTACCAGCATCTGGAGAATAACGGAAAGCTCTAGAAATAGTAGAATGAGTTTCTAGACTCATGTGTTCTGTCTGCTGATTCCCTTAGATACTTGTAACAGCTTTGGGTGTCACAGGCACGTGTGGCACTTTCACCTCCTCATTTACTTGATACATGACATTCCTGTCTTTGCCCAACACAGGGAGATGACTATGACCTGGGCAGCTGCTCTCTCTTAAATATTTGAAAACTTAGTAAGTGCCTTTTAGCATTTCTCCCTTGGTTCTTTGAACAATAAGCTCAAATAAAGACGACCATTTCTGGATAAACCTTTTTTAAACAATC